GTTTTGGCCTCTTTGTTATCTAAAATCTCTGAGTGACACCCAAAGGGCCAAGGTACTGGGAGTGACATGTGGCCTGAGAGACCCTCTAGCATCATTGGGGGCCAGTCGAACAAGAGTACTCCCCTTGCTTTTAGGACTTTGCTCATTTTTATCTCTAGTCCATAAATTACTGAAGGTCAGCGACTGTCCAAACAGGACAAGGTGGATCTTGTTGCCAGGAGGCTGTCACCTGCATGGACATGGGAGAGAGTTGGGAAGGCCCTGCTCCTGGTAGCTAGCAGCCCTGCAGCACTGGGGTAGCCATTAACAACTCCTGAGGCTCAGTATCCAAAGCAAAAGTCAGAGCCAACTATTTAAAAGACTTACAGGAATTTGCTGGAAGCGGCTTGCTCACACTATTCTGCTTTTGTCTGAAAAGGTCGCTGAAACCTTGATTCCTCCAGTTGCAACCAAAGATCCTTCCACTTCTCAGTGCAGCTCCAGGCTGTAAAAATAGCATCATCTAATTAAAGATTAGTTCCCTCTCTCCTCTTCTGAAAAATTAATAATTCTGACCGAATCACTGACACACAATAAATACTGAATCTCACATTGCGGGGTTGCCAGCTGTTCTGCAGAACTAAAATTTCCTGTCCTTCTGTGTCAGTCTGTGCCATTGAAGGTCACCAGAGTTGCTTGTGAAGATTAAGAAAGGCAGGTTAACGTGGAAACTGGTTATTTCACTGAAAACTGAACACTATATTCTGAACTGATCAAGTTTAAGAAGACTGAGCATTCTGTAGTTGAGAAAAAAAAAATCAGTTTTATTTAAATTAGGTCTTTCTCTTGTCTATTATGCTCAGCTAACTTTTTGTTTCCTTTTTTAGTGTGCTGCAGCAGTTCAGCTTGCATTGATCCAAATTGAGCTTCAGCTGCCTTTCTTAAATTAAGAATTACTCTGCATGGAACCAATGATTTCTAAATTATTTCCTGTGTCAATTGCTAAATAACTCTAAATCCAACACTGTAGGAGAGGATTTCTGGAGCATTCACTTACTTATTCTGAGGAAACAAAACAGTCATTTTCAAATAGTTTTTTCTTTACAGTTGATGAAAACACATGTAACTTGCTGAGCATCTCAGCTGTGCTCAAAATGACTGAATCAGACCCATTACTTCTTAGCTGGTCGCAGGAAGTGAAATTATTTCCCGAGGGCTTGTATTACAAGACAGCGTGACTGCTGCTCTCAGGCACTGAATAGCTTTGCTTTACCTGAATTGGCAGGCATGTTTTGGGGCATATTTGAAGGAAATCCAGATTTAAAAAAAAACAATCCTTTGTAACAACGGTAAATTCAGATCTGATACTGCCATCCGTTACCAGTGCTATTCAAGGCTTCTCCTTCCCACGGATATTGAACTAAATAAACTTAAAGTCAGAGAGGGCATTGCTTAATCACCAGGCTCTGAATACACTATTCTTCAGCAAAAATCTGCTCAGCTGTTATAGGTTTCCATGTCTTTAATAGCCAGGCTAATAGCTGATAGATTCCCACTTCCCAAATAAGAGGCAGTTTTACCAATGGCTTTAAATCATTCTCTGTGGAAAGAGAAAGTTGCATTAAATCCTAGTAATTAGGCAATTTCAGCTGTCTTCAGTGCTTTTGACTTTGTGGTTGCCTTGAGAGTTGGGATCCTTCTATGTCCTGCCAATATGAATCCTCTTTATTCACATATGCGCATGGACAGGTTCACACACCCTTTAACTCTTTGTCTTCCTCCTGAACTCCAGTAAGAAATGCATTTTCTGGTTTCATCGTTATTTGCAAAACCACTGCAGAAAAGAAGAAAAAAGGTCTATGATTAACAATAAGTCCATTTTAAATCAGCTCTTGTGTTAACATCTGCTACAGCATTGAGTTTGTACTATTTGAAAATGTGAAGTGATGTTTCTGTCGATGACTATTTCAGGGTTATTTTTTTCTTTCTGCTGATGAATAATATAAAGAATAGGGTGATATTTTCCCGGGCTCTCTTTATCACAGTAGATCTCCTGCAAGCTCTTCTGGCTTGCTATAACTCTTGCTGTGAAGCACCTGACACAAATGCATTAGAAACCCTTTCACTGCTCTATTGATCAGCATTACTAAGTGCTGCAAAAGCATGTGCATCTGGCTGCCATAAACTGTAGACAAAGCAGAAATGAAAGCTGCAAACAGCATCCATGAATATTGGTTTGACGGCAACTTCAGTCTCCTTTGACTACGTTTGTGCTCCCTCTTTACTAGCAATAGTGGGATGTTTGTAGAAATGAATTTTTGCTCACGGATGGTGTTGTGATGGTGTATTTTTTGTGAGCACCCAGAGCAGAAAATATTGCACAGCCATCTTGAGCTTGTCCAAAGCCTCTCAGAATCAATGGGACTTTTCTAGTGAATTCATTGGGCTTTGGATCAGGCCCAGCAGGCACCAAGGAATCATCTGATGAAAGAGCAGCCCTGAAACCCCATGATTTAGATAGCCACTCACCCAGCACAAATAGTAAATTACAAACAGCAGATACTGGCAGCAACAGGCACGAATAGTCTGTAGTCAGCAATTCACAGCCTGAAACATGTTGGCATAAACAATGCATCAGATAATTCCAGCTAACCAACACATTTGTGAAAATCCAAACCTGTTTATGGACAATTTTCAAAAAGGCAAGTTCAGAAAAAAAAAAAAAAAAAAAAAAAAAAATTGCAAGAAAAAGAACCTATCCCTTTTTGCTTACTGATCATTTAGAAATGTGTTTTGGGTATGAGTTGTCCTTGCGAGGCACTGGATGACCTCAGGTAGGACCTGATGTGAGTGCTGGGCAGCCCAGATTAGCATTTATTCTGCTTTAGTTTCACTGTGGTTTTCCACTTAGGCTCCATTCTCACGTACCTTTGCTGATGAAACTGAGTCATTTGGAGCAGCGAGGATGAGAGCTGCCTGCAGAGAGTTACAAGAAGATCTTGCAGCCCTGAGTGAGCTGGCAGGAAAATAGAAGGTGAAACTTAGAGTAGGTAAATGTAAAATTGCATAGATAGAGACGAAAAAAAAGTCCCAAATTGACATGTGTAGGAAAAATCTTCGCAGTGACCATCCCACTCTGAAACAAGATCTTGGCTTGATCATAAATATTTCTATGAAAAGTTCTATGCAGTGCTCCATAGTGGTGAGAAGAGCAAACTGAACGCTGGGAATGACTGGGAATGGTGATGATAATTTTTCACCTGCTAGCTGTAGCACCCTTTGCTCTGTGCTCTCACATGCAAAAGCAGCTGCCATGAATCCCTGGCCATGGGCCTTCAGGGTGTGGGGATGGAGCTGCTGTCAGCATCGTGTGTGCAGTAGCAGATTAGTGGGGAGGGGTGGTGGGGGACCAGCAGCACCCAGAGTCAGTGAGGATGAACACACAGGAGCAGGGAGCACAGGCAGGATGAAAAGCAAGATGTGGCACTTTTGGGTTGCTTTTTCCCTATGCTACCAGGTTTTCCCTTGTAAAAGGAGGAGCATGCTGTTCCCACCCTAAATGTGGCACAGGGAAGAGAAGTTGCTTGCAAGTCATCATAGCACTGAGTGATGCAAAAATACGGCGAGGGAAATGGTCATTTTGCCTTTGTGCTTGTCAAATCCAGCAAGGTTGTGCAGTAAAATAAAGCCTGCAGCTACACACTGAACAGTGTTAAGGGGAAAAAAAATTGCTTCGGGGCTCACTAAATGAGCTGCATGTGCCTAACGCATGGAGGGCTGTGGGAAAAAAATAGTTGTGATGGTATTTAGAGATTATATCATTATGTATGTGCAAGGAGAAAGAAAATAACCAAATGCAAGTAGCTTGGGAGCTTTCATGTTGACATTTCCCAGCTTCTGGCTTTGCAGCTGCAGCAACGTCCCTTTAATATTACTGTTAAGTTTTCATTGTGCATAGTAGCCCAGGACACGGCACATGTGGAGCAGGTGAGGAGCCCCACATCCCTTGCAGGGTGACGAGCAGAGATCGGAGAAAGCTGGCCAGACTCTGCGATGCAGCGTGCATCAGCGCACAAGCGGTTAACAGGGTACCGCCCTCCTATAGGCACCAGCTCCTACAGACACTAGCTTTGTTCCTCTACATCCCTGTTCCCTCAGCCCCTATAAAATTTTGTCTTCCCACCTCCCTCATGGGGGATCTCACTGTTCCTGTGGTCGAGCTGTGCTTTATATTAATGCTGCAAATAGAGAGTGGCCATTGTTTGTAATTTAATTAGTGTCATCCCCAAGAACTTAACGCATGACAGAGGGAATTAGAGGCAGTGTATGAAAATGATGCAGGGGCGTGGGTAGAGGTTTAACCACTTTCATGCTGACATGCTTTGTAGATAATGCATACAGGATACATCTTTCTGGACACGTGGAAATCACTAAATGGGGATGTTTAGTCTCTGCCCTGGTGTTTCACAAATATAGAGTGGCTACTGTTAAAAGAGAAAATGAAATCTAAAGCTGTCTACCAATTTTCCATCTCAATTTCTGTCCAGCAGAAATTTTTTCTTAATGAAAAGTTTCCTTTGGGTGAAACTCCTCCATTTCTCTGTATTAAAAAAACAATAAAATCTTTTTGCTAGGATTGTTTTTGTATTAAACATTAGATTTCTTTTTAGGATATTGGATGGTTAGCCCAAGTCAGATTTTGAGCGAGGTTGTGGGATTGCCATCACTTGAGATTTTTATGCACAGGCTGGGCAAATGTTGGCCGGTAACTCTTAGCAGCTATTAGGATTGTAATAGCTGTTTTAAGATAAAACAGCAGCTGGAAGCCTCATCTGACAGATGTGCCACTATGTTGGCCAAAGATATAGTAAAAGACAGTCCCAAAGAGCTTGCAAGCGAAGCCCAGGCTGGTGTAGAAACCGAATCAAATATCGGTGGGGAGTGAGTATGGCTTAGCAGAAAGATTGATGCATGCAGGCACTTCACTGTGCATCATTTTTGTGTCTTTGCTTTAGGTGTCACAGCCTCATCACACCTCTTTGACTACAGCTCCACTGCCAACGGGGGCGACAGCTCCTTCTACACCTCTCTGATCTCGGATGTCCACTACACCACCCCGCGGGACTCTACCTATTTCACGGGCATTTATCAGCAAGAAAACAGCCCCGTTCCCTGCTCGGGCAGCACAGAAGGGTTTAACACTCTGGGGCATCCTGTTCAAGATGTGACTGGGTTTGAATCCCGTGGCTTGTTTAGCTCAGATTCAGGAATAGAGATGACTCCTGCAGAGTCTACTGAAGTCGATAAAACCTTAGCAGATCCCATGAAAGTAGAAGCTTATAAATACATGGACATAAGTAGATCAGAAGAAATAAAATACCAAGAAAAGCATGACCCTGACTCAGAAGATGAAAGCCCAGGCCTTATTGATAAGTACCGGGGAATACCCACCAGGTCCAGCCACACTGCTACAGACGGCTTTGGAGAGCACGAAGGCAGCCAAAGAGCAAAACCTACTTGAAGACACAAAGTCTGGAGATCAGCATAGTGCCTCCGTGGTTACAGCCCCTGTCAAGATCACGCTCACCGAGATAGAAAGCGCTGGGGAAGCTGCCAGCAAAGAGTCAAGCCCAACTCAGCCGGAGACCGGACTGAAGCCAAGCCACGAGGTGGTACCAACGGTGACGGTCTCGGAGCCAGAAGATGACAGCCCGGGGTCTGTCACGCCACCGTCCTCTGGCACAGGTAATACTGCTGCATGACACTGGTTTTTTTTGGTATTCAGTGGTTGCAAATGTAGCCCTGCACGTTGGGGAATTATGGGTTTGTGGGCTAGGTCTGAGGGAGCATGAGCAGACATTAACAGGTCTCCATGGCTGGAGGTGTTTCTGCTCTGCTTGGGCACCGCTTTACATTGCCGAACCGACGGCGATGCGAACTGTGCTGCCCATCACTAATGCACTGCTCAGGATGGGCTGCCCTTTCCGTATGGAATGAGGGGAAGACAGGGCTGGGGATCAACAGAAATAAGTTGCCAAGAGCCACTCAGGAGCACAGCTGGGGTCTTGCCAAGAGCCTTGCTGAGCCTGGTCTCCACGGGGATCTGTCCTCGAGGGGAAGTTGTGAGCTTGCGGGTGTCATTGGGGGTATCGTCAGCCAGGTGACGGTTTGGGCTGGATCCCGGTGATTTTAGGGTCTCTTGGACAACCTGGCTGGCTACACTTCCGAGGGGAAATGAGGTGTGTGGGACCATGGCGCTGCAAATGGCTGGGTTCATTATTTTACAGTTTTAATGGCTGTTTTAACACCTCTTTGCTCTTGCAGAGAATAAGGTTAAATTGTTTCAAAAAAGTGCTGTTTCCAAGAGGAAGTGCTGCTTATAGAAAGTGCTGAGAAGGGAAATGCTGTCACCTCATTTACAAAGGGGACTGGAGGGACAAAGGGCCAGTCTCTTTTAATGGGTGATTTCTGTTGGGGGGGGCACCAAAATCCATTGCGTATACATTGTCTGATAACTGCAGTAGTACGTAATATCTATTCCTCATCTTCCCTGTTATACACTGCTAAAATATGAAAGCAGTATAGTATTTTAAAAAGGAGTAAAGTTCTGTGACAGGAAACAGAATTTTCAGACTTGAAATTAAATTCCAACGTCCTAGATCAAAACCCATTGACAACAAACATTTGACATTTGACAAAGAACATCCCCGAGGTGAAATTTCCACTGCTTTGATGGCATCTAGAAGCATTTAAAAATCAACTGGAATTTCCTTAAAATGGCAGTATGGGACTTCCATCCACATTAATACTTACCCTTAGAGAAATACCTAGTTCCTATCCAAAAGTAAGTGTGCATTTATACACTTTCATACACAAAAAAAGAGATAGGAAGAGTCCACTGCAGCTGGGAGTTTATCCTACCTGCATCAGCCAGAAACTTTAGATAACAAATAGACTTTAGAGTCCCATTTTTCTTCTTTTATTTGACTGGGTGACATCACACACTACTTCTGAGACATGCTGTTTCTTATCAATTTACAGTTTTTACACTACAAGGTAATTAAGAGCTTCAGGCGCTAATTGTTATTTATTCAGTCCTTGGTGGCTGCTCAAGGCTGACTCCGTGACACTTGATAACTATATCCCATCATAACAGCTGAATAGTGTGTGGCTGACCCTCACAGCTGCTGCCTTACTGGGAGGCACTGGTGTGGCTGGTGTAATTGCCGGCATGGAAATATTCCTCTCCGTGGGCAAAGCTGATCCCCAGCACTGCCCGAACAGCCCTGGGAGGTCCCACCGCCTTGCATCGAGGTGCTGGAAAGCCAGAAGCCGTGCTTATCTGTCACACTAAGGAAAGAAGCAGGCATCGTCTTTTAGGGGCTGGCTCCCACAGGGTGTTTTGTCTGAACTTCCCCCCTTTCCTGCATCCAGGGACATACTGCACTCAGACTCCGTGTTCATAAGCAAGGAAGAAATGTAAAACCTGCCCTCGCTATTTCTACCCAGTGACCCAGCAAAGTCGTCGCTCTGAGATACCCCTCAAGCATCCTGGCAAAGCCCCCAGTTCCCCCCTGCTTGGATCAGGACTTTTGAAAATGGTTTGCTTTTAATTACTGACCATCATCTTTCTGGGGAAGGAAGACGTGGTCTATTCACACGCTGCAGTGGTGCTGAAAGGCAGTGGGTATTTATATGCTTCCCCGTGCCAGCGGTAAATATGACACCCTGCTGCTGGTCACAAAGGACTTTTTTGTTCGCAAGGTAAATGCCGTGGCTCAGAGTTACAAACTGCCAGCGCAGGCAGGAGCGGGATGAAGCCGAGGGACGGCGCGTTGCTGCGCTATGAGGGCTGGCGATCACATGCCTGTTTGGACGCGTGCCGAATTAAGTCATCGCTGAGGGAGAAAATGCTTTACATGCGGTAATGCAGGAGAGTGGCGCAGCTCACGCGGACTTCCTGCAGCCGGAGGGAAAGGATGCACAGATTCCTGCTCAACGTGTCCGATTCAACAGAAACTTCCCAGCATCTGGACAGGAGCATGTCACAGCAGTCCCAAACACCTTGATCCTGTCTGCGGCTGTACTCGGGGTTGCAGAAGGACTTTCTCATGCGGGAGGGATGTCTTATAAGCGAGCTGTTTTGTTGGAGGAACTGCAGATGTGACGACAATATGTGCTCAAAGCTGCTGATGACAGGTGTATTGGCAGATGCACAAACCAAAACTGCTTGGAGGGGTGTGGGGAGGTTGTTTTTCTTGCTCATCTCCCAGCAGGATGTCATGACTCAGGTGCTATCACTAAAATCTCCCCCTTTACCTGATTCATCTGGGGGATGGCATATGATGAGGAAGAAATCAGCTACACTATTGCCATGAGAAATTAAGTCTGGAAATAGGCAGAAATAGTGGTTTTGTCCCAGGTGACATCTGATACTACCTCTTTCCCACCCTCTGTTATAGAGGATCTTCCAGAGGTGGCCAACGCAGCTGAGTGGGTTCAGGGGACTGATGCCAGTGGCTGCACCCAAAGCAGGGGTGGGCTGAAGGCAAATACCCACTGGGAGCTGGTACAGGTCAGCACGGGGCTCCCCTCACCTGCAACCAAGGGGCTGGAAACCTCCCCCTGCTCCGCTGCAGTCCCCAGATGTGCAGATTCGTGGTGTCCTGCCATGTTCTCTTTATCAGCATCAGCAGGAGGAAACTTGGGGGTCTCTTTTCCTGATGGTTTTCTTGAACCCTAACCACCTGCAATGCCACTTGGTGACCCCTGTCACATTAATAATGATATAAAATCAGTGAATGAGCACTCGAGAGTCCAGAGGACAAATTTCTATGTGTGCTTGATGGCTGTTCCAATGTTCCTCAAAAGGGAGAGTCTTGCATGCGGACGGCAGCTGTCTCTGGGTCAGTGAAGTGCTAGGTGGGAACAGCCGATCAGGAAGCAGCAGTGGCCAGGCGCTGGCAGGGGATCTGGTGCAAACTGCTCCCGTGGTCCTGGTCCCCCTTGGCGCAGACAGGCTCAGCTGGCCCGGCTGGCCTTGCTGCTGCTGCACCAGGTGTAGTCTGAGTTGGAGGCTGGCTGATGCTAATGATAGAGTGAAGCCTGTTCCCCATACAGCGACTCAAGGCAGCTGCTGATGCACCCCATGCTGCCTCTGTTCGCTCTTATTGTGAACACTTTACAGGCAATTTTACTTTCTTTGTTATTTCATTACAAAATCCCATGTGGTAAAGGGATATACAGGGATGTAAAACAGGCTGGAAGTCTGGTGCTGGGTTCCCTTCTAGTACGGGATGTGGGCTCCTTGCTAATCCTGGGTGATCAGCCAGCCTTTTCAACTGCTCATTTTCGCTCTTTGAGCATTTTCACTCTTCTTCCAGTGTGAGCTAGAAAATGCAGAGAAGTTCGTATCAAATTTTGGATGACAGGTTGGTCAGTCATTATTTTAGTTAATGTAGTTCTTCACAATATTAAGAATTACAGTAAAAAAATTAGTTCCATTCTTGGACCCAACTGAAATAAAAGCAAACAGAGAATTCACCACCCACTTCCTTAAAAAAAAATAAAATTAAAAAAAGTCTGGAAAAGTTTCTGACCTGGAACTTTTCACAGCTGAAAGTTAAAGTTTGACAAAATTACTAGTAACTACACATGGGTTGCTATGATCACCAGGGTCAGGAACCCACCAGCCCTGTGTGCGTTTGTCCCCAGAACAGACCCATATCTGTTGGTGACAGTCAGATGCTGTCACATGTGGCCTGAGCCCATGTTCCTCACGACTGGTGATTTTCTTGGTGAAAACCATATTGCTGAGCCACTGGCCAAGTGCTGACCAGCATACCCTTGTGTCTCAACTTTTTCCTCAGTACATGATGCTGATGATACTTCTTTTATAACAAGTATGCGCATGGGAAACACTCCATAAGGGCAAGCTGTTATTACTGTTAGTCATCCCAGACAGGGGGACTTTCTGCCTGTGTTACCAGCCCTGCTAGAGGGTTCCATGCTGGCATGAAATCTATTGTGTTTGTTGCCTAAGCAGCCAGAAAATCTCGTTCTTAATTTTTTTTTCTTTTTTTTCCCCCCTTTCTTTCTGGGTGGCAGAACCGTCCGGCTCAGAGTCGCAGGGCAAAGGCAGCCTGTCGGAGGATGAACTCATCAGTGCCATCAAGGAAGCAAAAAGCTTTTCCTTTGAGACCCCAGAGGTGCAGCGGTCACCAACCCTTTCTGCTGAGAAGAGAGACCAGCGGGTCAAACCTGGGCACCCTGCCGTCTCCTCACCCCTGGATAATGAAGCCAGCAGCGCTGAGTCGGGGGACTCGGAGATCGAGCTGGTCTCGGAGGACCCACTGGCTGCCGAGGAGGTGCTGCACTCCAACTACATGACCTTCAGCCACATCGGAGGGCCCCCTCCGTCGCCAGCCTCCCCCTCCATCCAGTACAGCATCCTGCGGGAGGAGCGGGAGGCTGAGCTCGACAGCGAGCTCATTATTGAGTCCTGCGATGCCTCATCGGCCTCCGAAGAGAGCCCAAAGAGGGAGCAAGACTCCCCTCTGATGAAGCCCATGGTCATGGACATTATCAAGGAAGAGAATGGCTCACGCACTGATGCCTCAGACTACGAAGCAAGTAAAACAACAGAGAGCAGGATGAACAGGGAAAACCTGGCAGAGTCAGCATCCTACCTGAAATGTTCCTTTGTTGCCCCAAAAGTAGGTGCTGAGCCCCCAACCTCCGCCGTCAGCACCGAGGAGCTGAAGGAAAGAATAATCCTGAAGAAACCCATCGAAGAAACTGTTGTTAACCAAAGTAAAGTGTCTTCCAAGGACTCTGGCAAAAGAAGTCCATTGGCTTCACCCCTACTGCCGTTTTTAAATAAGCAGAAAGGTAAATGCAGATGTTTATGTTGTTTTATGCAGTACTGCTGAGAAGGGGGAGGAGGGAGAAGTGTCTGTTCCTTGCAGGGGAGATGTTAGTAGTTCTGAGCAGGGGGGAGCTGCTGGCACTGGATAACCTCAGCTTGAAGCTAGGCACACATCAACAATGTACACATCATCTCCGACCTTCCCATCCTCTTCTTTTTCTCCTTTTCCTTTCCGTTAGGAAAAAAAAAAATACCAGCAACAATAATTTTTAGGCTTAAGCATATAGATACTGGATCAAGCAGGAACCCCAGTAACATAAGGCTGATTTGTCCATTAGGCATCTGGAGGACAAAGAGCAACAAGTGATCATTTGTCCTTTGAAATAGTCCCTGCCTTGCCCCAGGGAAGGGGTGCAATCAGGGAGGTGGTCCTGCCTCTCCCAGAAATGTGAGGATAATGTTTCTGAGGATATATTTAGGAAAAAAAGAAGGATTTGGAGGAGGAGAGGAGTTGGGTTTGGTAGGTCTGCGTGTTTCTAAAGCTGGTGCAGCTTAAACGAATCTCTCTCACCCTCCATCCTGAATAATGAGGGTTTTGTGTACGCTTCCAGGCTGATGCAGGGAGGTGGGTGGCTTGGGGGTGCTCATCCCAGCTCTGCGTGCCTTGAGGGGCATCTGGTGTGCCCCTCTGAAAGCCCCTTCCCTAATCCGGCTCTGGGAGGGGGAAGGGCAGGACACTTCCATGGTAGTCAGAGCTCAAGGGCACTTGTCTCCCCATAGGATCCTTTCAGAGCCAGTGTGGAGCCAGCCAGGACTGGGCTTGCTGTGCCAGGCACGGAGGTCTGACCAGACTCACCAAACCTCTAGAGCCACCACCTGGGCTGGGCTAAACCCTGAGGACCAAGGGCTAGCACACAGTCACTGCACACTGACACTGCTGGGTGTCCCTGCAGCCTGTAACTGGCTTACTTCACAAGGCACACAAGAGAAAAAGGCATTTTATTCTTTGCAAGATACCAGCTCTAAATAGCCAGGATCTCTGTGCACCTCTGGCATTGTAGGCTGGTGTGGGAGGGAGGGATATGGTGCTGCCCCACGCCTGCCCTGCTTGCCCTCTGCCATCTCCTTCAGCTGGGCAGTCGCTGCCCACAGCTCTTCTGTCAGATGGGGGTTTGCAATTCCGAGAGCTGTTGCTTCCTTGCAAAGAGCTGGATAGAGATGGAGGGGGGTCCAACTCCAGCCCTGCTGCTTAGAGAGCAGCTTTTTCTTCCGTCCGCACTTGTGCAGACATTTGACCACATGATGGCCTGGAGATGTGGCAGACACATTTAAGTGGCACAGTTTTACAACTGATTTATCTAATGCTGTGAACCCAAGCGTGCAAGTCTAATAAGGAAACAGCCTGAACATGCACGATGTGCTGAGGACTGCAAGATCTGCAGTGCAACAAAATATGTTAATACTGATATTCTTACTGGTAATGAATTAATGACATTAATAGGCTGAATAAGCAACATATCATTATTGCTAAGTATGTTTTCCTGCCAGATTCTCAGAGCTTGCAACATCACGCTGTGCATCAATTAGCTCTCTGATGGGTAGGAAGAGCTCCAACCATTTCTCTCTCCCTTCCCAAATTCCCCTTTTGCAGGACTGGCCCAGGCCCTGCCCAAACCCTAGAAGCTGCAGAGCTGATTAAATTTACCTTACATACTATTACTGCAGTGTTCAGTGTTGGGTATTTGCAACCACATTGTGTTCTGTGTGCTGTTCTGGGCACAATCTGTTCCTGGATTCGGGGAAAATAGTTGGGGAATACCACATGGGCAGCTAGTTGCCTGTCACTCAATTTTGAGATTTCAGGCCCCATTACAATTTATAGTCCCCCTTAATCATATTCAGATTTTTTTGGCCTAACTTTTGCGTCTCATTAATTTATGTTATTGCCTAAACTGATGCTAGCAGAGGCTTGTTCTCATATGATGGTTGGAGAAAATCCCCGTGTGCATAAGCAGACTTTCTCCCTGAGTCGCAGTGTGTCCGTGTGTCCTATCTGCATTCCCGTAGGACAGTAGTGGCAGGAATGTTTCCTCCAGCACAGACACAAGACAGCCAATTACTATTTGGCAGTGCGTGGAGGACTATTTCAGTATGTGCTTTTCTCCCTTGAGACGTTCCAGTATCTCAGGCAAGGAAAACAAAAACATAAAGCTTCTCAAGGAGATTATTGCTAAAACTTGTGTAACTTTTTAAAGCTGATTTCAAGATATGGGGAGGTGGCCTCAAGATAAGAAAATATGGATGATAGTGGGGTCCAGTTTATGCTGCCTTCCAGTCATGGGTATTTGCTGTATGTGCACTGTGTCTAGGCACTAGTTAAATTTTTAAGTTGAAGGTATAGTGTGGGGCTCTCCTTTTGACCTGGGGAAGGAGCGCTTGTCGCTCACTTGGAGAATTCCCGTCAAATCCTTCAGAGGTTTTTCAGCTATCAGAGGTGAACTGAGGGATGTGTTAAGTGGCTTGGTGGAACCAGAGCATCCCCCATGGGTCCTCCCAGGCTCCGTCAGCTTGGAGCCGCATCAGGTGGTAGGGAAATGAAAGCACATCCAAGGGGACAGAGTCTGCCTTCATAGCATGAACTTGAGGTCTTGGCAGAGCTTTACATCACAGGATCATATATGTGTCATACACCAACTCAGAGGCACCTGGCAGGCATTTGGCATGGGCCGCGCTCAACCAAAGTGACAAGAATAGAGGTAGATGTGGCAGCGCTGCACAACGGAGGTGCAGCAGAACGATGTCACCCAAAGCAAGAACAGTATCATCATTCATTAAGAGAATTATCTTAATTATAGTTATCTATCATTAAGAGAATACCAACAAGATGCAAATATGTACTTGTTAAAAGACAGAAAACAAAAACCCCTTCATTATTTCCTGTTAACCTCCTAGTTACACGTCACCCTGGAAGTGTTATGCTACCACTGCACATCCTTATTAAGACAGAATGATGATGTTCACAGAGTCCAGGTGGGCACTGATCCCCCTATGGCCTTGGCAAGTCCCACCTAAGTTCAGGTCGCTGCTAGCCCAACGTTTCTGGAGATTCATAGGAAAGTGATGGATCAAATGAAGCTGTTTGACACGCCTGGCTGTGTTTTTGACACCCAGCTGTAAATCTTTCTGTGGCCCTTGGCCAGCTCACAGCAAGGTATATGTAATTTAAAAATAGTCAGCCATCGGTTTCACATGTAAGTGTTAACTATTTCAAAGTGTCATACTGTAATACCACCAAGGAATCTTTTACTCATATCCCTGGCATTAAATATACTTCGCATGGCTCATCAAAAGGGTTTGCCCTGGGCTGGCAAGACAAAAGTTGATTTTGAGTGCAGACTCCAGGAAATACATGAAGAAACTGTACAAAGTGAAAGCCCAGCGTTCAACTGAACCCCAGGAACAGTCTTGCTGATCGTGTTGCTGCCAGGCCACAGCTTAATCCCTTAGAGACCTTTCTGGTGTGTCTGCTAGGCATGCTGAAATCACGGCCGTTCCCCTAAACAACAAGGTGGAGCACAGCAAGTGTATGTGTGGTTTGCGCAGTGGTAACATCTCTGCTTAACGTCTGTTGCCATCCAGTGGCAATAACAAAAATGGGCAGGGACTTCCTACCTCCATTTTACTGGAGCTGACTATCACAATTTGAAAGAGCGGAGCTATTCCCATGCCGCTAACTGATAAGCAGCCTCGCTTGCTTTTCTGCACGGTCAGAAAGATCACATCGCTTGCTGCAACACAAGCTTTGTTTTGGCCAGTGCTGTGCAGTTGCTACCTATATTAGTGTTACTAATTCCCTTGCCTCCTGTGGATCAAAGAGGGGAAGGTAGAGCTGTAGCAAGACATCTGCTGTTCGGCTGTCACTGCCTCCACGTCTCTACCGGCATCTCCTCCCAGAGATGGATGCAGCCCTTCCTTACACAACAGGGCTTAGAGCCCCTTTGGCTGTAGCTCTGCAGAAAGGAGCTTGCCAGCTTAGTTTCTTTTTTTTTTTTTTTTTTTTTTTTTTTAATATTCAGCCACAGAGAAGGAAGATGAGAATCATTGGTGTTTTCCAGTAGCCAGAGCAAGGAATGCAGATTTTTAGGTTTGTTCTAAGAAAACCCTTTCTTGCAACAGATTTTCACAAACTTTGGAAAATAATACAACTGATTGGTATGGTGCTGTGACATTGCATAGCCCAGGTGACATCCAAGCTGGCCTTGCACATGGCTTGGGCATGCAGGAAATTTCAGAAAAGACCTGCTGTTCTGGAAACATGCCTCTTTTGGCCTGGGGCAGTTTGCAAGAAGCCCAAAAGAAGCCTGGACCAAGGCAGGCTGGGAAGGAGCATTTTGTCTGAGTGCTTTCCTGTCTTCTCTTGACGTGCCTGTCGGAGGTCTCTGCCAGGGTGGCCTGGTTTACCACATGCTGGTGTCCCGCAGCATGGTGACCTGGTCCTGGGCAGAGATTTCCCTTATGCTGGGGTATCATGTCTCTCTCCAGCCTCTTCTTCAACAACAATACTAGGAGATAACTTCTGCTTGATCCATTTAATGAAGGGTGCAGCAGCTCATTACCTTTCAGATCAGATGTCTGAGCTCAGGTTAAAAAAAAAAGAAAAATATGTGGACATTTATAGTAATGTTTGCTTTCCTTTTTATTTTATGGTGAAATTTAGCACAGGAAAAGGAAAACCCAGGCCCGGGGCTGTGGGATCATGCTGCGACTCACATGCTAGATGTCACAACTGGCAGGACCTGCTGGAAACGCAGTCAAATGATTTAAAATGCTTTATTCTGCAGCACAGTCCTATGCCACCCTGCTATGGGGCATCCGGGTTTTTATGCCTTATGGAAGACTTTTGTAGCATTAATGTGGTTAGTCCCCCACAAGAGTGTGTCCTTACCACACACCCTTTGTGGCTGCTGTGGCTCTAAGTACCCGTGAGGGACACTGAGATTCATGGCCAGTGGCCCAGTGTCTG